GAATTTTTCTATGAAGTTTGGACAACAAGTTTGTCCAATAAAGATCACAACTTTTACTATGAAGTTTTATTAGCGTTATGGTTGAAATCTATAATGACGCGCTTTCGACCAAAGGTCGGACGGGTCATGCGTCACGGAAGCTGCAGTCGTTTTTCCGGCAAGCCGAAACAAAAGAAGCTGAGCGAGTGAACTGTGGTTAGTCCGCTTTGCATTGCTGCTTGTCCTACTCCTGGTAACTCGCTTCACTTACAAGCTAGAAAGCCGTAGCCTTTGTTGTTGCGTGGTGTGTGATCGGCCGTGCGTAGCACGTTGACTTGGGATTTAAATCGGCACGCACGGCAGCCGCTTAGGGTGGGTTGTGTGGGCGAAAAAATGATCCGCTTGCCCACCGATCCTCCGATGTCACGCATGCACGTGCACTGGTGGGCACAAGCTCTCCGCAAGCCATGTATTGTCTGGCGCATGTGCAAATGCTGACTGGCAAACACTTTCAGCAGCGATGTGTTGAAATTTCTTGGTTTTTGACTAACAGCAAAAGGCTCAATCGGACAAAGATCAAACGTGCGAGCGGCGCCGGCTTTTGCGCAAAAGCCGGCGCGTTTAGCACTGGAGCTGCAGAAATACCTGCGCAAGGCATTTGTTTCATCTGGATGTTTTCGTTTCAGTCCATCACAAAATTCAAGGAATGGTTTTTTGGGGCGGCTCAGCCAAGCTCAGTTTTGCGGAATGGCAAAAATGACATCAACCTTCGAGCTGTTCAGGGTATGAGTACAATGTCACGTGTTCGCAGTTCTCAGGCGCCTTGTAGGTGCATTGAACTTGTTGATGAATGGACCGCGTGGAGTGGTCCTTCAACTCTGAGCATTCAGGAGTGGCTTTCACGGAGCATTTAAGTGTTGTTGATCACAGTTGGATTTCTTCCATGCGAGCATTGACACCGAAGTGGCTCAAAACCGAGAGTGCTACACCACCAACATAGATTGGCTCCTGAGGGAGTCTGGAATGTCGATGGTTTCCATCCCAGGACAACTGGATGAAACTCGGAGTGAAGATGTCCCAGAGCCGCCGGTTGTACCGGACGTGGTGTCGCCCAAATCCGGAAAACCGATCGGAATACCGACCGGAAAAGTTTTCGGTGAAAACAGTTGGCCACGGCTATGCGGTGATGCCATGACACGTTTGCAAGACCATGAGTTGCCCGGGGACACTTTTGTTTCCTTACGGTTCAAGGCGAAGAAGAACAGGGGAGCACTCTTTTTCCTTCCTTGTGTGTTGCTGGCATTTTCGTCAGATTCTGTCGTCTTGGTCCGTGAAACCAGCGCAGTTCCGGATGGAAGAGGAGGCAAAACGTGCCTGTATGGGACGCCAGCAACCGACATCTTCACAGCAAGAACGTTCTGCCCATCAATTGGAGGATTGAGCCCCTATTACTGGAGCTTGGGATGGTATGGTCTCTTCCTCGCTACTTGCGTCGTTGGCTACTTTAGTGGACGGGTGATCCGCTCAAACCGTAAAAAAAGTTTGCCTGAGAAGGAGAAGATGCTCTCGCCATGGTGCTATTTCTTGGACTGCGCGCGGGCTCAATACACAGATAAACACTTGGCAGCTTGGTTTGTTGTGATGACGCTTGCATTTGTGCACTCCATTTGTGTTCGGGTCGTTGCCACGCCTGAAAATGATTCCATGCACAATGCTTGCTTGTATTATGGTCATTGGACAAATCGCCAGGAATACTGTCAGCCAGGAGCACTCTTGGAGCCAAGTTGGACTGTGATCCTGCTCGCGACCTACCTGTGTTTTGCAACCGCGCTCATGGATCAAGGAACAATTTTCCTGCAGGGTTTTGATGAGCAGAAGTCCAGAGGATGGTGCTTGGATTGGTTGGCACATCCAGACCCGGAGGAGAAGAGAGAATTGTCTCCTGCAGAGAGAGACAGACGACAGGACTGGGATTGAATGCAAAGACCTGGCAGTGTTTTGTTTCGGGGTGTTAAAGATTTCCTCATGTGTTGTTCTGTCGCCCCTGCAGGAGCAGATTTACCCAACCAGAATCAAGAGGTTGAACCATGTCACAGGGGCAGCAGTGAAGTTCAAAGCGCTGATTCGCAAACAGATGGACAAAGCCCGCGTAAGAGAGCTGGCCCGGAACACTAGCTTGGCTGAGTTCATGATGTTTCCACTCTATGCTATGGCCTGGGTGTGGGGCTTGGAGGAGGATGGGCCAGAGGGTGGCGACTTGGATTTGGACGAGGACTTTGAGACCGATCTGAACGCGATTTTCTTGCCCATGGAATTCCAACAGGACTTGGAGAAAGTCCCGAAAAAAGGGGCAGCTTTCACCCAGGACCTTGAGCTTTGCGGGCCTGATGCTCTAGTGCGCGCTTCGGCGCAGTACATGTTGCGCACGCATGGATGTCCTGCGCATGAGGAATGGCAGGCCTTCTTGGGCCACTATGATGTTGCCAAAGATGCCGTGGGCCGGTGGAAGAGAAGAACATGTGACGTGAACATACGCGAGGAGTATGAATTTTGCAATGTTCTGAGAGGCTTGATGAAAGCAGGATTCTTGCGCTCGCACTCGGAGACCCTATCCACCCATGATTCCGATCAGAAGGATCCGGAGAAGCAGAAGGTAAAGGCAAGAACCACGTTTTCAGCTTGCCTGGGCAGAGGATGCGGATGCCGGGGTCATATTGTTCTTGGGCTCTTGGCAGGACTGTTGGGCTTCTACATCTTCTCCTTCTGGGCTCCACAAGGCGACTCGTATGCCTGGGTGTACTACCCAGTGAACGCGACAGCGTTTGTTGAGTATCGTTGCAAGGAAACAAATACCACAGACATAAAGAGCCCATGGTGTGAGGCGCCAAGGAGCTTGCTCATGTCTCGCACAACATTGTGGATTTCTCACTCTGACATGCTCAAGAGCGTCGTGGGGGGCAACACCTTTGGAGTCGTTTTCTGCTCCATTCTCAAGGCCTTGATTATTGGAATGCTCGGAAGCATCTTTGCAACCACCGTTGCAAAGACGGTGTCTGGTCTCCAACAAGCTTCTCACCCTATGATCATCTTGGATGGTGTTCTTGCATGGTGGGCAAGAAATGATCAGATGACTACTTGTCATCTCCAGGTTTGGAAGCTGGCGAGGGATTCTATTCTTCATAGTGATGTAAAGAACATTCTCGACCGCTATGAAAATGTTGTTCTTGCCTACCTTGCGGTGTCTTTCTGGCTCATTACAGATGCTGCTGCTCAGATTGCCCTCTTCGGCAACACCCCAAATGTAATGGGAGGGTACACGTTGCTACTTTCCGGCGGTGCGACCTTCGTCTGTATTCAGCAAGCTATGCTGGTTCAGTACAACCAGAGCCAGCACATCGCAACCTTAAAGCGCTTGAAAGAGGCTACATACTTCAGTGGTGCAGAACCAGATCGACAACACCAAAGACAAGTTTTAGACGCAATGATTGCTAGAATGAAAGATGGCGGAGACTATCAGACAAAGATGCTGTACATGCCGTTGAATCCGGTGTTTCAGAAGACCCTGTTTGGCTACTTCGTGACAGCTTCCTTTGCAGTTGTTCTTCGCCTAGTCTCAGAAGCCTTCAGTCGAAGGGCAAGTGCGGTCGACTGGGGCGTGCTTGCCCCCGCCAATGCCTCCACGGCGGTTGAATGGATGGCCGGAGAACAGCAAATCTCCATGACAATTGGCGGATACTAGCGGACTCTCTGTTCCACACAGTACTTTTGAGCCCCAGAAGGGGCTGCACTTTGTTGTCTTTGCTTGTTCGCACTGTCTATAGCCAACAAAAGGGCCACGACGGACTCCCGTTTGCAAACGCTAACGGAGTGTCTGCATGCCCTCGCAGAAAACATGCGACGCACTCACAACTTGACGAGAGCGAAAAACATGTTTGCTCACAGGTTGCAATTTGCAAATGCTGTGATGGCACGGCATCTCCGGACATGACACGCATCGTGCACTGCGGAAGCTGATCTGGTGTCGTGTCAGTGGGCAAACATGCTGGTGCGTATACAATCCGTTGGGCAGGTAGCTTCAGGTAGGATAGCTAAAGTCAGGAGTCAGGGGATGAGCAAGGCAAGGCGCAGGTGCTGCTTGAATTGTTGTCTGCATTGTCCTACCCATAACAAGCCGGGCTGTGTGAAGTTTCTGGGCGCCAGCACGAGTTTGTGTCGTGTAGCTGAACACAAGATGCGTGTGCGAAACATGGTTCTTGCCACATTGCATCCTTTGCAAATAACGTCAGGCAAGCTTGTGTGTTGAGTGCCCTTTGAAGCGATGGGTGTTGGACATGACAATACACTGGCAGGTCGGAACTTGCTTTTTTGCTGGAATATTCGGTGGCTTGGGCAAGTGCGAGCCGCATAAAGGACATGGGCATGCCTGTCTTGCAATTAGAGGTTTTGCACGGCCATTCGCCCGAACTTTGTGCTAACCATCCGGGAAACCTGGAATTTCTGAGCTGACTGGCTGCTTCAATGCACGGCAGGATGTGTTACCCGTGCTCAGTCTGGTTTCAGTTCGTAGGCTTGCTCCATGGGTTGTTCGTCGATGGCCGGAAGTCCCAATCGTTTCGCCGACCTTGATTCGCGATATTTTTGGTAGTGATAGTGGTGATGTCCATGATCGCAGTGCATTTCGTCAGTCTGCTTGGATGCTCGCCAAGTCTGTTTCATGGAGCAGGATCATGTAAGCTTGGATTCGAGTCGTGACGATGTGGATGGCATTGCTCGAGAAGGATGACTTTTCATCTGGGAACTAGTGTTCAATGACTGTTGGGGTGGGTGACAGCCGTTGGGGCACCAGCAGCAGGTACTGCGCACTGTGCACATGAGCTGTGGGAGTTTTTAGGGCGAGGTTCCGCCCTGGTGCGGTGTGCTTCTCTGGGAGCCAGAAGACAGTCAGAGTGGGCTGGGACTTTGATTCCCCATCCCAAAGCTTCGCCATAGTTCCTGGTATCAGCACACCTCTTGACCGGCAGCCTTCCCGGCGGATCCCGGCGGCCGTAGCAGACCAAACGCGATCGTGGCCGACCCACAGTTGCAGTTGGGAATGTGCAGTGGGGCATTCGGAAGAGGGATTTGTGAACATAGGCTGCCGGTCGGTTGCAGATTCTATTTTGCCGACGCACCATGTCGCACGTGACGAAAGGATGTCCTTACCGTCGTCCGTCCTGGTGCTTGTTGCAGCCACTTGCAAGATCTATACCGCAAGACATCATCCTCAAAGTTGACCATATTGGACGGCCAACAAACGCAGGCAACATTGTTACTTAGTTGGGAGCACGCTGGCAGCTTGTGTCACTTCGTTGCCGTTTTGACCAATTCATGTAGGATGACCGCGTTACAAATGGAAATCCATTTTGAAAATTTGTGCTAGCACATGCTGCCATTGGCTGACTCATGTGAACGACATCTTGGAATTGCTCGAGAGCAACAGGCTGAGCCATTCAGCCACGCAGATCATCTTGCCAGAAGGTCACATGTGTAGATTCATCAACAGGCCGAGTCATGGGAGCTGAGCTCTGCAAGTTGGAGGCTATCCAAGCCAGCAGTTTGCGGTGGAGAAGCCATTCCGACACTGCCAAGTTGATGTTTCTGGCGGCTGGCCGTCCTGCAGGCCGCTGGGCAGTCCACTTAGCGTCATTCTGAGTTCACTATCACAGAGCCTGGAGTCTCAGGGCTGGCATCCGATGTGCATCCTTACTGTTAACATGTGACTTCCTACTGCTCCCCACGCCCTTTCATCGCCCTACCGGCCGCGAGGCCGGAGTTGTGGTCAGTGCTATGTGCCTTCGTCAGCTAATCTGTTCTTTGTCACCTTGAAACCATTGCCAGCGTAGGTTGCTGGTTGATGCGGCACAGGTATTGGCCGTTGTTTCCTGCGGCTTTTGTCTTGCGCGCCGCCATGCGTCGTTCGCGGAGCGAAGGAATGAGCTCCAACGCTTCGCGTTGTAGCTTTGTGATCTGGGGGCCGAGCAAGCGGGCAGCCAGCGATCAGGCTGCCAGTGCAGTGGATTGTTGCCGAATACACCATGCCTGTTTCCCTTTGTGTCGCTGTGCGGATGGATGCGTGTCAAGATCAATCGTTCCCGTGTCCGACTTTCGTAAATTTGGAAAAGCCCCCCTTCGAGCCTTGGAAGCCCCTCCAAGCCACTGAAATTCCTTCAGTTTTACAAAAAGCCGGGGGGGGGGGTGGGGTGGGGCGCAGCGCCCCCCGTTTGCAAAATTGGAAGGCAAGCCTTCGAAAGCGAATTTGTGTGGCGTCTCCTTCTTGTGTGTTGACGTTTTGACTTGTTCCTTCGCTTTGGAAGAGATTCGATCCTATTTCATTTTATCTTCTTCGTTTTGGTGCACCCCCGAGACGAAGACATCTGGCTTTGTCCCTAAGAAGTCCCCTTGTCAAGCCACCCGAGAAGCCCCCAAACAAGAACCGGGGTTTGAACGTCTTTTCGAAGCTGTTTTGGAACCCGGTATCGATCTGGGTTCCAACCTGGGTTCAACCCCAGGTTGAACCCGGGGTTGAACCATGTTGAGCACAGGTTTCAGCCAGACTCGAACCCAGCTTCGAACCCGTTTTTTTGTTGGGACCGAACCCAGGTTCAAACCCGGGAGGGGGGACTGGCCCCTTTTGCTTTGTGGGGATGGCCCGCAACCACTCGCCGCAATGGCCTGCCTGGGGAAAAGGAGGTGCTCGCGATAGGAAGTGTTGAGTACGCAAGTGCCCCGCGAAGCACGGCATTCCCCTCCGGGCGCTCCGCAGCTGCAGCTCGAAGCGCCGTCCAGACACCGCCAATAGCGAGTTCACGGGCGCATCGTCATGCTGCGTCCGGGTGTCTCTGCCAAGCTGCCGAGTCAATAGACGCCGGGGCTATTCGCTCCGCACTGCAGGGAGGAAGGCGACCTGGCGCCGCTTCCCGCTTCCATCCTCGCACATCCGGCTCCGCCAAAAGGTGCTGGAGCATTGCTCAGGAATGCCTGCATGGTCGTGTCTAGCCGCATATGGGGCCAAGTCCGTCGGGGGCACCGTGTGCAGAACGCATACGCAAAACGTGTTGCGCACGTGGGTTGGTACATTGTATAAGCTATTGTATAGCAAAGCCAATCTGGCTGTCCGGGTGCGTTTGCGCAGCATGCATAATTACGCCATATCGTTTTGGTGAGACTTGCGAGTGGCGAGCGCGGAACAGCGCGACGGAGATCCCTGCCTGGCACACAGGTTCGCGACACAGGGGCCTTCCGGCTCGTCGGGCAACTGAATGCGCACCGGTTACACGTTGTTTTTGTGTATGTTTTGGTGGGCTTGTGAATCTATACACATTGCAGTGTATTGGCTCTAGCNNGGCCTCGGCTAGCCGATAACCGGGCCTCCCCTCTTTGGCTAGCCTCGACTCTGCCTTTACAGATGCAACACGGAAAACGGGTGCTAGGTCTGGTGCTAGAGCAGTGCAAGCCTATCTGAACCTTCATTCTCAAAGATTTCGCACGGACGGGAAAAAGGCTTTTTCACGTTGCGTCTACGCGCCCATCATTTTGTTGGGAACGTGTTGCAGCGGACCGCCAATGACAGCGAGAAAATGTGAGGAAACACCCGTTTATTCCAATGAGGAGGCCGCTTGCTAGTGCGACCGTGTGGTGTGCAAATCGGGGCTGCCCAAAAACAGCCTAGTTGGGTTGATGTCCCTTCTTCTTGTCTTCATGCCTCGGGCAGGTGGGCGTGCCTGCTCTCCATCCCAGGCAGACCCGCTCGGCGACTGCGTAGCGTGCGCCACCTGTGGCGTTTGTCCCCGCGCATTCTACGTTACGCAGCGTGCCATCATGCGATTGTGCGACGAACAGGCCCCCATCGGTGCGAAGTTTGCTTGCCACGTCCGCCTTGAAGGCAGTATCCTCGATGCCAAGAAAGATGCGTCCATCGCCGATGCATGTGTCGACATGTGTCGCTAACGGCCCGCTACCCTGGCTCGTATGACGACATCGGAATTGGGGCCCCCAGGCTCACAACTCCACAAACCCAAAACTCACCAAACCTTCATCATTCATCTTTCAGACGAAACTTGAGCCACGATCACGTGTCGTGTCTTTCTTGCGCAAGGGGCCATGCTCACCTGCACCTGCCATGTCTTCCTTGCGCAGGGGCCATGTTCACCCGCACATGCCGGCAGCACACCTGCACTCCTCATCGTCATATCTTCGCGTAACGAGTTGAGGATTGGACGTTCGTGTGGTGTGCCCATTTGGCTAAAACATCCATCCGCCCAAAGCTGAGCAATTACAGCCTATCACGCGCCGAACCCATATCCAGGACCGGAGCTTAGATTGGCTTGAACTCACAACACATTCAACTTGTTTCTAGATGCCTCCAGCCTAACTCGGGACAGTCTTCATCAATCCACCCGCTGGAATCAACTCTGCGCCCATATGCGCAGCGCATGCCAAAATGGCGCGTGCCGGTAGGTTGCATCTATTCGGACCTTTTGGTGAGGTTGCTAACACAAGCGGAATTGTCCCCGAACAGCTCCGTTTCCACATGGGTCTTCAGGAACTTGTCCACAGACAGCTCTAGCTGTGTTCCTAGCTGATACGCTGTTGCAGCTTCCATAAGCACGCAAACACTGTCGCTGAGTGCGACATGCGATGGTGTAGCCACAAAACTATACCACCACACCGGTCCTTGATCTTGATGCCCCGGGCGCTAGC